GCTGAAATCCTTTCATGCAGTTTCATCCAATTTTTCTTTTTGCTTCTCAAGGAGTTTCCTTTCCCTTGAACGCAGTGTTTAAAGCAGATACATATTGCTTTAATTTCATGCCTATTTTCTATATAGCCTGATGAAATTAAAACAAACAAACAAAAAGCATAAAAAATGCAGAGGGCTTACCAGAACAAATGTTTAGTAATGGGACTGATTCATGCCCAGAGTACAATAAGAATAAGTGGTGGGACTGCTTGCATGATTAAGACACTCAAAATTAAGTGCCTGGCCCTGTATATTTTGTTGAAATATGTATTACGCTGCTTCATCTCAAAGACTGAAAGTAGTCTCTCTGGAAAATATTTGGAGGTATCTGCATTTTTCACACCCTGTGCATCTGTTACTGAGTGCCAGTTTCATAGTACTGTGAGAGGAAGGCAGCGGGCAGAAAAGGAGCACCAAGCAACAGCAGACACCATGGTTTACTGTGGTCACTGTCCTGCTGCAAGTCTAGGAGTGGCTGATGAAAAAACACACTGAGCAAGCGGCATAGGAATATGAGTAAATAGCCATAGAGGTAATAGTAATAGCAGAATTCTGATGAGGAGCTGGCCTGGTATAAAGCACCTCTAGATGTCACTGTAACATTGTAAAATGTAGATAAGAGAATGCTACAAAGCTGACATTATGGTTTATATGCTCCGATTCTGGTAACTCTTTCAGTCAGCCTCTAATAAATTATTGGATCATTAAAAATGCTGTTACTGGAAGTTGATTAACAGCAAAAAACTTTTTGAAATCTGTCAGTAAGACTGTTACTGAACATTTTACTAGAATATTAAATATTCCTAGATTTGGGTTAACTAACCTAGTTTTTAACAGCAAAAGCTAGTGCAGGGCAGTGGCTCATTTCTGGATGTTTTTTTCTTTTAGTCCCTGAGGCCCAATCCTGATCTTTTCTGGACTGCCAACACTGATGCTGATTACAACTGAGATAATTTCTCTTGCTTTACACTGGTACCAATCTGATCAGCTTGGTAGTGATTAAAATAAGGTCCATCATTTATAGGAAACATGTGAGTTAGAACACAGAGTACTTGGATTTGACCAAAAAAAATCAGGCTGCAATTTCACGAGGACCAGTACAGCATGAACAGTGTATACACTAATACATCAATTCCCATCTCCACAGGTCATCAAAGAAAAGTCATGTTTGAATGAGAGTGGAACAAAAGAGAAGAAGCCACCAGATTCAACAGGTTAGAATATTTTTTTTTTCTGATCACTTTCTAGTTCCTAAGGGTACAACTGCACAGAAATAGCCATTACTCTCCTGAGCAGCGCCAGTGAAATTGGTTGGGTTATGTGTGTGCTCATCAGCATGAATAAGAATTGTCCAAGCAACATCAACCTACTTTTCACATGCCTGTGCACATGGTGGCAAGCTGCTTAAAAAGTGCTTTGCATGAGGAGTTTATTAACCTTGGCTGACTATAAATTTAAGTGAGAAAAATGTTTTCCAGTGCTGTGTCTGAAACGAAGAGTTTGTGATCTATGTTTTAAAGAAGTAGTCTGCTCTTGCTTAGGATACATTTACAGTGACCTTGAAGGTGGGAGAGGAAATCAAGTGCCTAGTTCAAAATGCAACAGAAGTTATGCTAAGTACGTAACGCTACTTTAATATTGTTACTATCAGAGAATTACTGACAGATTTATGGTAATCTGTTTGCTTACAGAGGAGACCATCCAGAAGAACCAGTCCTGCTCTCAGGCAGAAAACGTTGATAAGCTCAACAAGGAAAATGCCGAGAGGGAAAGTTCTGTTCTGCTTCAAATGGATCCTCCCAAATTTCATAGTGAAGGGCCAGAGGTGAAAGGAGAAAGTTTGGTTTTCAAAAGCTATTACAAAAACAGGAGAAGCTCAGTTCAGAAATCCTTCGCTACAGAAAAGCAGCAAGAAGAAGATGCTGTTAATGATGCTTATCAAAGGATAACTGCTCAGGAGATAGACAGTGAGTCCCCAGGAGATGGGGAGAGGAAGGAGGAACATCAGGTGTCTGGAGATAAAAGACAAGAGGAGAGGGAGAATGAAGGGCAGGGAAATGCTGATAAGAGTGAAAAAGAAGTTGAGGAACCACGAGCTCCTTCCCAAAATAAAGATGAAGCAGGACAAAGCCATGATCAAGAGGCACCAGAAGGAAGGTAAGGTCTGAAGCTTAGGCTGCACATTCTTAAGAGACCTATGCTTTAGAAAAATGTGTAGTTCAAGTTTCAAGTCAAAGTGGCTGGTTAATATAAATATTGGTGAAAATCCAGCCCAATACAAAGTGTAAAATGAGTTTATCTCTCTGATCTGAGCTCTAAGCTGAAATTGTACCCTTAAAAAAGACAGGCAAACAATCTACCATACATGGTACTAGCAGTGTGCTTTGGTTGTTTGCTTGGGAAATAGGTTAGGAGCATGGGAATTATGTTAGGCTATTCTTCATCTCTGAGGAGAATTCTCCCATTGTTAGGTTCATATACTGCAACATCATATGACCTGTGAGCAAAGTAAGGTTAGATTAGGCCATGTACCAATTGGGAATTAAATTACTGCAAAATGTAGTAACCTAAGTGATAACATAAAACAGTGAAGCTTTGCCCAGGCAATTAAACTGATAAATTTGTTTACTGTAATTCTTTCTTTGCTGCATTGATATATAGCCCTTCAGGGATAAACCAATTTAAGTTCTCAGGAACCTATATGAACAGAGTGAAATCCCAATGCTCTCCCATTGCTTTAAAGGTGAGATTGATAGCCAAATGTTAAATTTAGAAGAACTTAGGTGAGGATTTCAGTAATGGAGAAACATTTTGCTGTCATGATTAACTTAGGGGTCATTTTTATTTCTCGAAGTGAGTACTAAACCAGTTTATTTTACACCATGAAGCAAAATAACCTAATGTTATTTGAAAGCAGTATATGTTTAGGCATTTTTCACCTATGTTTCTAAATTTGCTCTGCTTTAAATGTACCCTGCTCTAATGCCATGTTTTGTCCTTGCAGGTGTAAAGGCTGCGAAAAAGGTACAGGAAATTATAGTTCAGTCACTGAGCACACCTGCCAATTTGAGCATAGTGGTAGCAATAAGCATCGAGAGAATGATGAAGGCCTAATCAAAGATGACAACAAAAGAGCAGGCTAGATGCAGAAAGTGCTGATGGCATATGTAAAACTAAAAAAAAAGCTCTTACAGGAAGTATTCCTAAAGGCAAAGCATTTGGTTCCACTGGTGTTACAGTGATGATCAGAGACATCCATAGAAGGAATGTTTTCGTGATTGTAATTAGTAGGGGGGAAAAGGTGTGCATGGTAGCTGTGACAGGAAGCAGTTGTTCATGGGTCACATCCTAAGCTGATGGGAAGTAACACGGTTCTGTTTGCTTCCATCTTAGAGGCTTCTGTGCTGGGAGAAATTAGTCACAACTAATTTGCTTCTGCCACAACTACTGCGCTAATACTATCCTCCTTCCCTCTTGCTTTAACAACAGAGCTAAAACTCCTAAGTATAGAGTGGTGGGAGAAATGATATCATGTGTGGCGAAATTGGTTGACCTGTGGAAGTGCTGAGAACATGTGTTAACACAGAATTTACAGTGCTCTGGATGTAGCCTGCAAAACCAGCTTGCTCATATTCATACCATTGCAATCTGAAGTGAGAACAACTGCAGCCTATAAAATAGATATGGATTTTTGTGTGGAAGCCTGGCTGATTCTGTTGATGTTGTTTCTAATATTAGACCTCCAGCTTGAGAATTTCTGTGCCTATCCCTATATATGAAATGATGGCACATGAGAGAATGGCCTGAAGGATTTGAAGATACATGTGTGTGCATGTGCATGTGTAGGAGTCAGAATTAATTTCTTTGCTTTGGGAAATGGGGGGAGCGTGGGAAAGCAAAACATTTATTAAATGTTTGTGCTAGGCTCTTGTAGCAGGAAACAAGAGAGAGTGTACTAAAACTTTAAACTCCATAACCTGTCCTGGGGTCTAGCAGATTGTTAGGGATGACATTAAGGTTAGAGTGTGCCTCTTGGAGCATCTTTGATCTGTAATGGGAGGTCATTCCTGAATAGGAAGAATAAATCCCTTCTGGTGTGCAGGAAAAGAAAAATAGAGGGTCTGTCACTGGGAAAATCTTGAAGACTAAAACTTAGGCATAGTTTTAAAGAGGCACTCTGGCCTCCTTAAAAGAACATTTCCTTGCCCAAAGTTTGGTAACATTTGGGAGCTGAGCTTTCAGAAAGACATTTTCTTCTGTCACTTACATGCTGGGACCCTTGGAGTTTGTGTTTCTGCCTTTAGGGTAGAGGGTTTCCTGGCATTTTGTGGGTCTCAGTAACACGCAAAGGCCCATACTTAAGGACGTGCAATTCAAACTGCAGAATCCCAAGTAGGTGGCAAACTTCCAGAAGCCCCAGCTTTTCACAATTCCTTGACCATGAACTAACTTCCTGACCATGTAAGTTATTAACACTGTCAAAAAAAAAATCTAGGTACACAGCTGGTGTCCTGGAAAAATGGACATTCACTGTGAATAAGGACAATCTACTGCTACGTTAATGACCAAAGTGTTCCTGCCAGCTACATGCTGTCATGGGTTTTTTTTGTTTGTGTTTTTAATAATTTTCACTGGAGTAATGAACAGTTTTAAAATTGCTCAACAAGCCTCACACAAAAGGGAGCCGGCATTCCAAACCAGAGAGCTCATGTTGAAACACTGGGGCTCTAGCCCTCCCAACCAGTTGAAGAAGTATTTGTCACTTTGGTCAGCCAAAGGTCACTCTCGGGAATATCAATCAAATAAAAAGCAACGTGGGTATGAAATTGAAGTCGCAACACCCTGCAAAAAATCCAAAGAGAAATTAGGCATGCAGGGCTGGTCTCCAGCTGGGATTTTGACATCAGGATGGCAGAATGGTCCAGCATGTGGAGGTTCGGACAATAATACCAGAGACCTGCATTTGTGCCGAAACTCCATAGCTGCTGCAGTGTGATGTTGGGAACCCATCCCTTCTCTGTGTCCCTCTTTACCTTTTATCTGCCATCTTTTTTTAAGGACAGAAATTCTTCAGAGCAGCACGTGACAGTTACCATGTGTCCTACCACACCGGGTCCTGAGCCATACTGGAAATCCCAGGTGCTGCCTGCCAGGGTGAAACTCTCTCATGTGTACAAGCTCTAAATGTGATCTTTAAAGGTGATGACCAAACTGTGGAGAATGACAAGTTGTGTCAATCAGTGGAGAAGGGGTTTCTTCACTATGAACAGCAAAAGCTAGGAAATAGCCTATTTTAGCTGGGCCTAGAGGAGAGCTCAGGCTCTCTTCCTACCCCACTGGAGAGTTACAGTACATACTCACCTATTAACAGTCCCTGAGGGGGGGAAAAAAAAAATCAGAGAAAAAGCTGAATTCCTTCCAAACAAATTGCTGAGGCCCTTTGTGGGCATGAAGCTATGTTGGTTTAGTCTAGTGGTCTTCACTTTGCCTCTTGCTACCGTTGTGCAGAAGATGCTAACTTAAGAAAGAAGTCCTTGTCTTAGTAGTGTAGCTCCCCAACAACACCCTGTTTTCTGAGCCAGAGCTCCTGGAATAAAACCCTTCTTAAATAACAGAGAAAGACCTATCTATAAAACTTACAGTAGGTGTTTTCAGTTCTTAAATGACCTTATCGGGGGAAAAGAGGGACTAAAATACAAGATAGACAAGCACTGCATGTGACCACTCATATGCTATCTGTCTGTTTTGTCTTTTGTAGATGATAGTCCTACTCCACCAGCACCATTTGATCACCGGATTGTCTCAGCCAAAAGGGTGGGGATCAGCAGTTATTATAACGTCAGCGAGAATGAAATCCTGGGAGGGTAAGTCAGGTGAACCCAATCAACATGGAAAGCAAGGCACACATTTACAGCCAAGCACCCCAGGAGGTGAATGGAAGCAACATGCCTTGCTAGAGCCGAAGTCATGAAAGTCTAAGCTCTAATAGTACTTTAGAGAGGGATGAAAACAGGAGGCTGATTTTACTGTGTGAGTGAATTTTGGCTTAAGGTTTGGCACCAACAGACTTGGCTTGTATTTGGTATTGTTCTAGGTCAGCCAGCTGCCCTCGGGGTTTATGACAGGGCTCCTAGGATGCGGTAATATTTTACCTCACATTGCAGCCAGCAGGACATAGAGACATGTTGTAGCCTTCTTTGTGTCAGTGGGTCTCATCCCTGAAAATGCATGCATGTTTTCAGATAGATCAGCAAGCTAACCTGACAGGCCATGTAGTTACTTGATCTCTCATGCTGACATTGTTTAGGAGAGAGTGATACTGTCATTTTTGATGGCAGCATGGTCTTGGGTAAAGCTTTGTTTCATCATGAAATGACAACCCTCCCTTGGAGGAGAATGGTGAGGTGGAGAGGGGCAGATTGTCCACGTAAGTGAGTTATTATTCTTACACTATGTTGGCTTCCCCAGGCTTAGTTATTGCACGTTATGAGGTGAGTATAGTGAATCATACAAGTGGGATAATATCAGCTAGAACAGTGTGTGATTTTGGTGTGCCTAAATGAGTAATAGCAAGTCTGATCTACACAACAAAATAGCAGCAATAGAGCAATTGAAATGGAACCCAGTAAGGAGGGGATAATTTCTGGTTTTATAACCTACTTCAGGGCTGACACCAGTGCCACTGGATGATTTTTTTTTTTTTCTCCTTTTTCTCCCTAGAGGGCGATTTGGTCAAGTGCACAAATGTGAAGAGAAAGCAACAGGTCTTAAGCTAGCAGCCAAAATTATAAAAGCGCAAGGTCCTAAACAGAAGGTTGGTAGAGTGTGATAGTAGTCTTTTTTCCCCAATGGATCCCCCACTGTTCTTCAGCTACATAGCAGGCCATGGCCAAGTGGCTCACAAGCCATTACACTCATAGGACCTGCTGGACTGCCATTGGCTCTATATTATATTTCCTCCTTCTCCTCCAGAACTTCTAGCAACTCATCAAAGTCCTCTTTGTGGGTTTTCTCTTTTTTTTTTTAAAATCTTAAATTTTCCAACTTTCTTTTCAGCTCTTTGTGTTTCTTTGGCTTTCCTTTTTTGCTTTCTAATGTTTATTCTATTAGTGTTTTCTTTAATGGTAAAAACATTTGTCAGGCCTGTGACGTAGCATATTACCTCCCAAGCATACTGTAGCCTTTGCTGCAATGACTTGATGTCACTGTGAGGGATGCTGATAACAGGCATGATTTGGGCTCCTGCCATCAACACAAATACAGATGAGAAGAATTAGTCTGGCCTGTTTGCAAACCTCCCCACCATATGGGTCTTGCTTTCACAGGAAAGACAGGCATAGCATCCTTTGTATGACAGCGGTGTCATTAATGGCATTCAAGGGTGGGATTTGTTTCAGCTAACTGGGGTTGCTAAGGTATAGCTGTGGCCAAACTGATCACCAAGAATCCTCTTATAGTCAATGGAGAGAGATTGGCACCACCAGAGAATGATTCAGCCCATCCTAAACTGGACATCTAAAATAGTTGGGCTGAATGGAGGTACCAGTCTCTCTCCCCTGACTGCAAAGGGAGGTTTTGAGGGCTGTCCTGGACTTTTCTTATGCAGCTTGATTTTGTATACCTACAGCTGGTTGAACCAAGTCCTATTCTGCTTCTCTCTTTTCTTTACATCCCTGTGAACCCACTGCTTGTCCATGTGGGCTTTCCCCTTCCTTTTCCCCCCAAACAGCTTATTACTGAAGCAGTCCCCAACTCAAGCTCTGAGTTCAGTCTAGTAGCTGCTATAGGCTTGACATCTACTGCTGCAGGAGCAATCAAGGGAAAACCCTGTGTTTGGTTACCATGAGGAAAACATGAAGATAATGTAGATGTCTGGTTCAAACTATGTCCTGTTTCATGTAGCTTTCTTAGAGAAAAGGCTTGTGTAACAATACTCATGACTCTTTACAGGATGAAGTGAAGAATGAAATCAATGTCATGAACCAGCTGAATCATGTGAATCTCATCCAGCTATATGATGCCTTTGAATCAAAAAATGACATGGTACTAGTCATGGAATAGTGAGTGTGTTCTTTTCTTTCCCTTTCTGTGTTTACCACTTTTGCTAGAATTGTCCATCTCCTTCTTACTTTCTCCTGAAATTAGAAATAGAGCTTCTTACAGGTGGAAATAACATATGAAAGATGTTCTCAGTAACAACAAAAAAATGGAATTTAAGAGAAAAGTTTTCCCATGCAGCCATTTATGCATTTTTTCCAGCGATGTGCCACATTCCTGGTGCTGTAAAGCCACTGCTCTGTTTGAAGATAGAGCTGTGTTATATATCTTCTCTTTAATTCTGAATTTTAATTTGTGTCAGCTAAGAAACAGACTTCTCAGAATATCTCCAGTTCTGTGAGGCAAATAAGAAGACTTCTTACGCTGAAGAGGAACCAGCTGTAGGTGTTATTCCTAATACTTGTACTGGGTGCCTGGATGGATAAACCTGGTTTTATGCTGGGTTATCAGGCAATTAGGCACAAAATAGCTACCTTAAGGTCAAGTTAAGCAGATGTTATCTTAAGGAAGCTAAAAAGGGTGTAACTAAAACATTGAAAGGCATCGTTCAAAGTTACGTGAGTTTGGTTAGTCTGGACATTCTCAGATAGTCCCCTGAATTTGGTCTACATGATTAGCATATCACAAAAGGTAAATGTCTGTGTAGCTATGAATGTGTAAGCTGGAGGCATTCAGAAATTAAGTCAATTTTGTTGACTTCATGTAGTTTCAAATTGAAATTTTGGATCATGTCGCTCTTAAACTCTGAGGGAGGAGATCACAGATTTACATGCATTCTCCTGCATGTTGTCTTGGTTTTACATGTGACCTCATTAATTTCACTGGTACAAAATGATGACTCAAGACAAGCATGAGATTCAAATTTAAAGACTTTTGTACTTATCAATGGATGGGAGACTGGACTCTCAGACCTTGAAGAGACTCAGGCCCGTATGCATCAGAACCCAGTTCTTGGAAAATTCAGATCAGAATACAAGCTCATATTGTAGACCCACCTTACTGAACTTGACTGTGAATGATTAAAATAGTCAATAGCATAAATTCTGTATTACTCTAACTGCATGGGATTGGATTTGGACTTGGTCACCACTTTATTGTCTTTCTCTCATCAGTGTGGAAGGAGGAGAGTTATTTGACCGAATTATTGATGAAAACTGCAATTTGACAGAGATGGATACTATCTTGTTCATAAAACAGATCTGCGAGGGAATTCAGTACATGCACCAAATGTACATTCTTCATTTGGATCTCAAGGTAGAGAATTGAGATGCGTGTTCTGTGCAATGACAGCTGTGGAAACTCATTCTTACCGGTAGGCTTTACAGCTTAGCAGATTCCCATGGCAGAAACAAAAAAGGGCCTTACTCTGCTTTCCTTATGCCAATATGTATTTTCTTTAACCACACTGAGATCAGTTAAATTACTACAGGAGTAAGTAAATTAGATGAGAATTGTGGTCATACATCATCAAGCCTCATAGTGCTTGAATTTTCCACGGACTGATTTTACAGAAAGCCAGCAGCTGACTACAAATATCTTGCTATTCTCAATTTTGATATTTGGATCTCAAGATATTGTGCAAATACTATTTAATTCCACTGCACAAGATCTCTGTTTTACACAGCAGCTATGGGGTAGCAATTATCCCCATTTTTTACCATGCAGAAAAAAAGGCATGAATGAGTGGAACTAAACTCAGGAGTCGTTTGGGATCGTAAAAACCCTACACATCTTTCTGAGGACTGCACTACACTGTTGTGGTCATGAAAAGGCATCAATAGATAGCTAGCTTAAGGGAAAATATGTTAAAATGTACTTGCTAAAATGGAAGAAATAAAAATAGTCAGTGCTTATGTAACAAATGCAATACCTCTATGTTGGGTTAGGCAATAGCTGCTAGTGCAGCTGAAAGCCCAGAGAATGGTGGCAGATTCTCTGCCTCATACTTGCTTAGTTATCTGAGCTATTCAACTATATACACAAGAAGTCCCCTCATTTCTTTTTAAAAACAAATCCACCAATTGCAAATTCTTACTCTGATTGACTGCTAATGGTTAACTGTCACCCCTCAGAAAACATTTATTGTAAAGGTATTTTTCATTAGACTGTACATTTGAGCTGGCTCTTTCTCCCTTAACCCAAGTTTTTATCAACTAATAGACTTGTTTCTTACCTATGTTTAGTGCAGGAATAAAATGGGATGATGTCTTTAGTTTTCTGACTAGATATAAAGCTTCCTAGTGATCCATGAGCTTTGCAACAAAGCAAAAAGAAACAAAAAATGCAGAAGACAGTTTGCTCTTTGGTGAGATTTTTATTACGGCTGCTGGTTTTGGCTTGTAATAACTGAGTTAATATAGTATATATTATTGCAGTGGTTAAGCAAATGAGCAAATGTTGGGACCTGCTTCAGTTGCTAATCAATGACCAGACTCACTTTTCTCTTTCTTTATAAATATCCAGTTACCCAGAAACCTGTCAAGCAGAAGTTTGCACAGTTCTTTGGGACATACTAATTATGGTCTTGGAGATGGCACAATTTTAATATGAGGTGAAACTGCTGACAAAAAGATACATATACAATCCAAGAAATTCTTGCCGGCTATGGCTTCTCTCTTCTGTTTCGCTTGTTCATAGATTGCTGTCAGTAACAAATGAGTTTGGGGATGAAAGCTTGAAACTGAAAGAAAATCATCCTGACCATAATAATCCAGGACCTCAGAAACTATGGACATATGGTGTTTAAAAGTCCTACATGTAAAATTAATTAGTAATGGTGACAAAGGTTAACTAATGTTTTAAGTGTTGAGGGCTGTTTTGTTTCAAGGAGGACTCAATGAGCAACAGGACAGAGTAGCTATAAAACTGCTGGCAGTGAATATGAGACTGTATTTTAGGTATTTACATTTCAAAGACAATTGGCCAAATTCTGTTCTCAGTCCCTTCTGTATGAATCTGGAGTAATTCTAGGAAGTTAATGGATTCCTGCCAGGGAAGCGAAGAACAGTATTTGGCCCTATGAAAATCCAGAGGGATTTAACCTGTGAATCCTACCTTTTGCTAAAATATCTGAGAAAAGCATAAAGTTGATGTGACCAGCTTAGTATATCAGTGTTCAATCAGACAGTTACTGCCAGAATATTTGTGAACTCAGAAGCTTAAAGCTGTAAGATAAACTTCAAAGCTCAACAAATTAGTTTTTTTCTATTTTAAAAAAATCAGTGTCAGTTTATTAAGGTCTGTAAAATCACAGTGCCAGCATCCTGAAACCCCTCTTTGTAAATATGCATTCTCTGTCCCCCTCCCCGTAATTAGTTCTTTATCTGAACTGCTACCTTAATGTCAAATTGAAAACCAAGGAGAAGAAAAAGCAGTTGCAAGGCACATAACACATAGCCCCAACTGCT